CGTCCCCACCGTCCCGCGGGGCCTCCGCGCTGCCGCTGTAAAGTTTGTTCGGACTTTTTTTTGGGGGGGGAGGGAAATGGGGGGGTCTGTTTTTTAAATAAACGCCCAAAGCGAAGGCTGCGCCTCTGTCCCTGCACGTCCCGGGGGCCGCCCTGCACCCGGGCCGGGCGGGTGGTTCTATCCCGGTGCTCACGGGTGCAGGGGCAGCCGAAAGGGCTGCCTGTCCCCTGGGGCTGGTGCCAGCACCACCCTGGCCCCTTCAGGGGACAGGACCCGACCTAGGCGTCCCCCTGGTCCTGGGCACTGGGCTGCCGGTGTCCCCGTGGCTCCGAGGGCAGGGGCAGCCTCGGCGTGGAGCCCGGCGTCGCGGGGCCGCAGGGCGGCGCCGGCTCCCGGCAGCTCCGGCAGGTCCTTCCAGTATTTCTGGCTCGGTGGCGCCTGGCGCCGGCGTCGCCCTGGGCCCGGTGGCCGGACGGCTCCGCGCGCGGCCCTGGGATGCACATGGAGCAGCCGGCACCGCTCGGCTGCCCCCGGCTCAGCCGGCGCCCTCCCCGCTGCAGCGGCAGACAGCCCCGTGCTCTGTGTTCCCTGCACCCGGGAGGAGCCCCCTGCTCAGCCCACGCTGTCCTCAGCCACCCCGCTGCCTCCAGGAGCCATGCACACCAAGTCAGTGCAGGAACAGCCTTTATTAAAGCAAAATAACCTACAAAAATATAGCTAGAGCCTGTGCCCCGCACCCCACCTGGCAAAGGAGGAAGGAGGCTCCCGGCCAGGGCAGGGACTAGCTCAGCCACACGGAGCCTTTAGCCACGGGGGGCTTCAGGCCCAACTCTTTGGCCCAGGCCTGCTCCAGGCGCCAGGTTTCGCTCCCACCCTCTGCGCGGGCGCTCGCTCCCGCGGGAAGAGGATCCCACCAGCGCGCTGAGCAGCTGCCCCAGTCCCGGGCCGGGGCGCGCGGAGCCCGTCCGTGCAGGAACGTGGTGCGTGCGAGGGGCGGGAAGGGGCGCCCCACGGTGCAGCGCTGCGGGTGCTCAGGGTGGGTGCAGCAGAGACGAGGCCGCGGCGGCCGCGCGCGGCAGGGCGCTCACTGCTCCTGCGTGCCCCACGAGATGTAGTCGGGCCGCGTGGCCGCGTGGTACTCGTCGATGAGCTGCTGCACGATCTCCCGCGAGTTGTCCAGCTCGTCGAAGTTGTCCTTGAAGATGTCCTCCTTGCGGAACTGCTCCAGGAAGGCCTCCCGCTTGCGCAGCTTGTCGTACTGCCGGCACGTCCGCTCGAAGAGCTGCGGAGCGACGCGGCCGCGTCAGGACGGGGCTCCCTGGGGAGCCCGCGCAACGAGGAGGACACGGCTGCCATCCGTCAGGCAAGCAGCTCCCGGCCTCTCCGTGCCCTGGGACACTATTCCGGAGCAGGGATCGTATTCCGGAGCAGGGAGTACAGCCAGACTCGCTGGATCCCGGGCCAGCCCTGCGCCCTGCTCCAGCCCTCCCCTCGTGCGCAGCTGTGCGAGAGGCCAGGAGGAGGTTGCAGCGTTCGCAGCTGCCTGTGGTTTCGAGGGCAGACACTCACCGAGGAAATGTTGGTGTGGTTTGCCATCATGAGGCCGCTGACGCGGTGCGCAGATGGCAGGTAGGGGGACTTGCGGGACAAAGCCACCTGGATGCTGGCAGGGCCCCAGGGAATGAAATTTGCCAGCTTCCGCTCCCGGATTCGCTGCAGACTCTTGTGGACCTGGGGGGCGAGAGCGGAAAGGGGTATCAGGGAGAGGGGCAGAGCAGCCCGGCGGACTCGGAACCTGCTCCTGAGAGCGCACACGGCCTCACAAAGGTGCATTTCAGCAACGGGCAGGTGGGTGCCTCGTGGCAAAGGGCTACCAGCCTCCCCGCAAGGCCAGGGCCCACCCTGGAAGCCTGGAGCTGGCCCTTGGGCAGCTCAGTCCAGGATCCCTGCGTGTCCAGGATCTGTGGCGCTGGCGAGCTCACCTGCGTGGGATCCACCTCGCCCTGGATGATGTTGAGGATGGCGATGTAGCAGTGGTTGGTCTGCCTGTCGCGCCCCGTGGACACCATCACGTTCTTGGGCTGCAGCAGCCGCCTCATGACGTCCAGGACGGTGGTCTTCCTCACGCTGGCCACCTGCGATGGCGAGGCCGGGGTGAGGTCCCTCGGCCTCCCCCTGCCCTGCACACACACACACACACACACACAACACACACCACGGGAGCAGAGCCCGGGGGAAGCCGGGGCTGGCGCCAGGCGCATGCGGGGAGGGACACAGGGATGCAGCACTCGGAGCCACACAGCAGGCAGAGCCGGGCGGGACGGGAGCGGGAGCGCGGCCGGCAGCACCGCGAGCTGCCTCTCCCACCACAAAAGGCTCAAGCTCAGTGGGAAGCAGTGACATGGGAGCGTCTCGTGCTGCTGCTCTCCTAGTTCTCTCCCATCCCGCTGGCAGCACAAGGGCCAGGAGGGCAGCGGAGGGGCCGCTGCCCTGAGGGCAGCGCGCTGGGACACGCGGCAGCCCCGTGTGGGCGCTGCGCCCCGCCGCACTCCTCGCTCGGAGGACACATCACACGCTCGATACCCTTTTTAGAGCCAGCAGTTTCTCAGATTTGCTTCTCTGAGTAACATCCTGAGGAAACGCACGCAAGGGGAGAACAGCAGCTGTTAGCTCCCGGCAGCAGCGCCACGCGGCCAATGCAGGTGAGCGGCTCGGAAGCCGAAACTGCTGCCGCCTCCGCCGCGGCTGGGGGCTGGGCTGCCGCAGGACATCGACGGGGACAGGCCAAGCGTGAACGGCAGCCATCGACTGAGCTCAAGGGCAACGTGCCCAGACAACAGGTCGATCCCTGGGGCTGCCGTGGGGGGCCCTTGTTTGGTGCTCTTATGAGAAGGATCAATAGTGTGACCCAGGGGCCTGGCTTGGTGGCCCACCGAGTCACCAGGGTGCTGCAGAGGGCTCGTGGTGGTTGCTTTGGAGGGTGGCTTTAGCCAGGCTGTGCACTGCCTGCCTGTCCCCAACACCCTGTCACACGCAGCAGGTAGCGCACCACGCGTGAGCCGTCACACGGCCGGGCTGCACGTGGCTCTGGGCTTCCCCGCATGTAGTTACTGCTCCCGCCAGGGCAGCGCGGCTGGACGCGACGTCCCAAGGGTGAGCGTGGAGCCCCGGGCGCCGTGCGGAGCGGGAGGGCCCGGCGGGCAGCCTTACCGACTGGTCTGTGGTGAGCGGGGTGTAGCCCGTCATGAGGAAGTGCAGGCGCGGCGTGGGGATGAGCGAGGCGATGAGCCCGATGAGGTCGTTGTTCATGTAGCCGGGGTACCTGAGCGTGGTGGTGCTGGCCGACATGATGGTAGAAACCTGCCCGAGAGCAGCGGGGTTGGAGCGGGTCAAAGCTCTGGAGCCCCCCTCGACAAGAGCCCGGGGACCCCTGAGCTGACGGCTCCAGGCTGCCCACCACAAGGTCCAGCTCATGGAGCTGTTTGAATTGGAAGATTGTGGAAGTTACGCCCCAGCTTCTCCAAAGGGAAAAACCTTCCTCACCAACTGGTTGATCTGGGAGAAGGACGGGTTCTGAATGTGCAGCCTGTCCGTCGCAATGCGATTCAAGGCCGTGTTGTCTAGAACCACCTGCAGAAGACAACCATGAGGAGTCTCGAAGAGGCACGCAGAGGAACCGCAGCCCCAGCCAAGCGTCTGAGGCCACCAGCTCCCACAGCCCGGCCCAGGCCGGGCACCTCGCAGGCAGGTGGCAGACACTGGAAACCACAGGGTGACTCATCCGCGGCGCGTAACCCACACTGTCAACGGGAGCCCTCCCCGGCTGCCTGGCCGGGCTCCCCCGCAGGGCACGGCCAGGGGCCGGCGCTCGCAGCGACCTCTCCCCGCGGCAGCTCCGGCCCCGCGGCCCTTCCCGGGAAAGCGCGCAGAGGAGCTGGGAGGGGACGGCCGAGCGTCTTGGCTGGGAGCTGACGGAGGCCAACGCGCAGCTAAGGCCGGCGGGGGGCACGGCTGCGGCGCGGGAAGGGGCTGCGCGGCGCGGCGCTCACCACGCAGTCCGCGTTCTGCGTGAGCCTCTTGAGCGTCAGCAGGGAGTTGTAGGGCTGCACCACGACGTCACTCATCTCGTCCTGGTTTGGGAAGACCGAGTAGGTCTCCACCAGCTTCTTGGGATACCTGGTGAGAAAGGCCGGCCAGCGCAGGGTTAACAGCCCCAGCGCGGGGCGCTCTCCTCCCACGAGCTCCCTTTCCAGTCTCTGGGGCAGTGAGTCACAGGCCCTGCTGCGTGCCAGGCTTGGCTCCCAGGGAGGGAAGGGATTTGTCCCAGCAGTGCCTACCCCAGCAGCACAGGAGCGGGCGCCAGACGGAGCTACGGGCAACACTGAGCCATCCACGGGCTGATTAAGCAGCCGCTCACAAGCCTTTCCAAGAGGCTGCAAGCTGCGACAGGCAGGGATGGCACCCCAGGGCCCGCGGCTAGAGCCTCCCGCTCTCCCAGGGCGGTCAGGGGGTCGGGAGGCAGCTGCCTGATCCAAGAGCCAAGGGAAGGCAGCCTTTGGAAAGCACGAGCGCCGTTCCAGAGCCTCTGAGGTCCCCGGGCAGAGCAGGGCCAGCCCCTCGCGGGCAGCCTGCCCGGGATTGCACAAGGCAGTGTTTGGGTGGGGGCAGCAGCCCGGGCTCTGAGTCAGCGCTCTCCAGCCGCGCGCCTTGGCCGCCTGCCCGGCCGGGCCACGCTGTGCCGCGAGGGCCGGGCCAGCGCGGCTGCTCACCTGTCATTCAGCCGCTCGAGGAGGTAGGAGCCCAGCCCGGAGCCCGTGCCACCCGCAATGGAGTGGCAGAGCACAAATCCCTGGAAAGGAGAGCAGAGCGAAGGCGGCTCAAGACGCAGCCCCAAGAGCAGAGGCAGGGCGAGAGCTCCCCATGCAAGCAGAGCTCCTGAGAGCGCAGGGAGGAAGCCCTTGACCGGCACATGGACCGGCCCCATCTCTGCCGGACCGTAGCGGCAGCCACTCGCTAATCCTGTCACTTCTGCCAGCGCGGGAGGATCCCACTTCCCTGTACTTGCCAAGAGCAATCGCTGCTCAGGAGCCTCCCGGCTTCCTCCCCGCCTCAACAGGCTTCAGGACAGCTCGGATGGCATTTTCAGGATTCAGGCAGGTAAATAAAGTGAAGGTAAATGTGCTGGGCCCTCCACGTTCTTCCCCTTCTCCTCGAGCCCCTGAGGGCAACCCCCTCTACCTGACTTCAGGGCAGCTCCCACCTACCACAAGCTCTTAGATCTCCTGCCAACCTATTTTAGAAGCACATTTTCCTTTCTCTGTTGCCGTGTGACAGCTTGACAGAGACACCAGTGAGCCTCGTCTGACTACGCACAGGAAATAGGTTTATGTGGATGGTGGCCAAGGTCCTGTCAGATGTACAAGGAAAGCAGCCCATGAGCCAGTGCCCTTCTCCTGGCTGTCCCCGAGCTCCTGTGGGTATCCTGGGTGCTCCTTTAACCAGCCTGGCCCTGGAATCACCACTAGTTAGGGTGACCGAAACCAAAAGCCCCCATTTACTTACTTCCAAACTGTCGCTCCCATCAGCTTCTCTGTCTATTATGTCAAAAATATCTTCGTGGATTTTTTCTCCCTGGGAGATAAAACCAAAACAGGGCTTAGTTTCTTTCCTGTGCAGAACGGTAAAGAGCCTCTCAAAGCCAAATGAGACTGGCAACGTGACCCATCATTAAGGGCTGCCACAAAGTGTCACCTATTAAGTCCTGCCTAACACGTTGTTCTCCGGGCAGCACGTGCTGAGCCCGGTGTGAGACGGGCTGACACATCCCGTGCCACGCACGGGGGCAGCGGAGCCGGTACCTGCGAGAAGCCGCTGGCCCAGTTGTTGCCAGCTCCGCCACCGTGCTCGGACAGGTAGATGTTTTCTGGGTTGTAGAGGTTGGCGTAGGGGGAGTTGAGGATGGAGTGGATGACGCGGGGCTCCAGGTCGAGCAGCACAGCTCGCGGGATGTAGTGCTCGTCATCCGCCTGTAAGGAGCCGCAGGGAGACGCTGGCGTGGGCGCAACCCGGGCGGCAAGCGGAGCCGCGGCCGCGCGTGCCACCCCCTGGCCGCGCGCGGCACGGCACGCGCTCCGGAGCGGCTGGAGCCTCAGGATGTCGGGCTCGCGGTTACATAACGCCGTGACGATGGGGGTGTCTCAGCACTGCCCTCCGCCAGCGCCGCAGCGTGGCCATTCCCAGGAAGCGGAGCCCTGGGACAGCCCTGGGAGCTGGCGGCTGGGCAAGGGAGCGCGGCCACGTCTGGCAAGTGTGCAAATCACCAGCGAGCGCAGGGAGAGCGCAGGAGCTGGGAAGGACGTGGTGAAACCGGGGCACAGGAGCTGGGCAGGACACGGCGGCCCCATGGAGCAGGAGCCAGGCAGGACGCGGTGACACTGGGGTGCAGGAGCCGGGCAGGACACTGGGGCAGAGGAGCCATGCAGGACACAGCAGCCCCGTGGAGCAGGAGCCAGGCAGGACGCAGTGACACCGGGGCAGAGGAGCCAGGCAGGACGCAGTGACACCGGGGCAGAGGAGCCAGGCAGGACGCGGTGACACCGGGGCAGAGGAGCCGGGCAGGACGCAGCAGCCCCGCAGTGCAGGAGCCCGGCAGGACGTGGCAGCCCCGCGGCGCAGCCGTGCCCGGGGCAGAGCGGCACGCGGGGCCGGCCGCGGCACCTGGTAGAAGAAGACGTCCTTGCGGTCGGTGCCCTCGGTGGCGAACTCCTCCACGATGCCCTCGGGGCTGATGCCGTGCTCGGCGCAGAGCTGCTTCCAGAACTCGAAGCCGACTGCGGGCAGGGTCGGGACGGGCGGCCGTGGTCAGCAGCGCCGCCGGGACCGGAGCCGGGACCGGAGCCGGGACCGGACCGGGCTGCCCCCGCGGGGTCCCCGTTGGGCCCCGCCCCCAGCAGGCCCCGCCCCCATCAAGCCCCGCCCTCTAAAACAAGCCCGATGTGCAAACCCCGCCTCCTAACCGAGCCCCGCCCC